CGCCACGGCTGCTTCCTGGTAGTGGCTCAGCGAGGTGTAGACCGTCGCCTTGAGCTGGCCCGCAAACCTTGACGGATATCGATGCGCCGTGAAAGCGCCGCGAGCGGCACCTCGCGCACTTGGCAAACAACACCGTTCAGCTCGTTGGCTGCCACGGTGCCCCTGCGAGGAATCGCTCGAGCGCCTTCTCAGTTTTTCGATTTCCATTCGGCCTCTCTGCCCCAAAAGCGCGCCAGGCGCGCGTGTTGAGCCAGAGCTGCCTCGCGTCGCCGGGCGCCTTCTTCTTGAGCGCGCGCTGGCCCCTGCGGACAGCGGCGGTCGTGGCGTCCTCTGCGGGTTCGACGACGGCGACGCGATGATTCGCCGACGGAGCACATCCGCGCGCGGCGTCTCGACGGCACGAGTCGTCGCGGCCACGCGCTCGGCGAGGCGCTCGGCTCGGGCATCTCGGCGCGCGCTCAAGGATGAGCACCGACGGAACGTTCGCATCGAACCTTAGTCGACTCCTGGTCGCGGTCGGGGCTGCAGAAGCAGTAGGCGGCCAAGACCTTGCGCGGAATGCACCTATCTGCTGCCGCCGTGGCAACAGGCCGCGGCCGCCGCGGACCCCGGCGCGCCGCGCGCGCACTCCTGGCTCGGTTCGGGAGAGCGCGCGAACGTTCCAGAGGCCCGCGCTGGCCTTGGCCAGGCATTGGGGTCAACGCATAGACGCTTCCCACGGGGGCCTTGTCGGCGCCGGGTTTTTTCGCGACGCGGGCGGCCGCCAAGTCGTCGGCGTCGGCGACGGTGACGCCATCGGCCACGGACCGGATGACGAAGCCGGGTCCGTCTCCTCTGGCGGCCAGCCGCAGCGCTTCCCGGGCGGCCTTGGCCTCCTTGCCGGACACGAACCGACAGCTGGCGCACGTCGCCGCGGTTTGCTCGCGCGACCTGTCTGCTCCTCTCGGAAGGCTGCAGATTGCCCGGCCGCGCGGGCAACCGCGCGCAATTCGAGCCAGGTCGGTTGTATCCCCTCTCTCCTCCAGGCGCCTCTGGTGGGCTTCTGTGGCGGGCCGCTGCTGGAGCGGGTTCCTGGCGCGGGCTGCCACCTTGGAGCTTGCGCATAAAAATGAAAACACTGAGCGCCTGAAGCGCTCACTGTCTTCATTTTTATGCACAAACCCCAAGGGCCTGCTGTTGCGCCGTGCTCGCGTTGAGCGTTTTCAGGCGCGGCCGGCGCATGCCGAGCCGCCCGTGGCACTCGGGGGCGCACACTTTGCAGCGGTGCCCCCCTTTGTGCGCCTGCGCCCCCAGCTGGGCAGGCGCCCGCGAGGCGCAGCACCCATAGCACCGCGTGGAAGGCCGCCCCATCCCTGGGCGACCCCGCGCGTGCTTGAAGCCAAAGGCTTTGCAACGCATGCTCAACCAATCAACCAACCAGCCAACCCTCAACTCAGCAGGCGCGACAAAGTGCGCATAGGGATCTTCCTCCTCCTCCTCCTCCTCTCCCTCCTCCTCCTCCTCCTCCTCCTCCCTCTCCTCCTCCTCTTCCTCTGCTATGTCCTTCCTCCTCCTCCTCCTCCCCCCTCCTTGTCCTCCAACTCCTTCCCCCTCCTCCTCCGCATCCTGCCATCCCCAAGTTGAGGATGATAATCGAATCCAAAACATGCAAGAGCATGCGTCCAGATGCTCGCCACGAGGTGTGAAGGCGCCCCGTAATATTTCAGACAGCTCTCGTACCGCCGGCGATGCGATGCGATGCATTACTTCTCATTTCTATTTCCCTCCTCCCTCTTCGTCCCCATCCTCCTCCTCTTCCTCCTCCACCGCCTCATCATCATCAGCAGCAGCAGCATCAGCCGCATCACCATCATCACCATCATTTGCAATATAAGCAGCATCGCACTCATCCTCATCATCGTCATCCGCGTCATCCGCATCATCATTGTGATCGTCCGCCTCTGCATCGTCCTCATGTTCCTCATCATCGGCGTGGTCGTGGCAATCGTCATCATCATAAACATTACCATGTTCATCATCATCATCCCTGTTATCATCCTCTCCTTCTTTCCACTTCCCCTCCTCTCCCTCATCTCCCTCATCCTCTCCTCTCCCCTCTTGCCTCCTTCTCCTCCTCTCCCTCTTCCTCCCTCCTCCTACTCCCTCATACCTCCTCCCGTCCTCCTCCCTCCTACTTCCGCCTTCCTCCTCCCGTCCTCCTCCTTCCGCTTCCCCTCCTCCCTCCTTTCTCTCCTCCGCCCCATGCCGACGACGACGACGATGACGACCACGACGACGACGACGACGACGACGACGACGACGACGGACGACGACGACGACGACGACGGACGACGACGACGACGACGACGACGACCGCCCAGAGAGCCGCGCCCCGCTTCGCGATGAGCGGCCGCGGTATGCAGAGTGGGTGTGGCTGGGAGGTCTGTGTTTAAAATCTAACGACCCCAGCCTGTCGGGTGGGAACAAGCATTTTATGTTCTGGCATGCTCTGTTGTGTCAT